ACGGCGGCGAGCAAGGCAACGGGATTGCTTTGCCGAACTTCATAGGCGCTATAGCCAGAAGTACACACATGGTCCTTTCAGAGCCTTGAGCCGTTCTTGTCCTTAGTTTTTATCACTCAGGTAAGCCTGTAGGGAAGGGACTTTAGACATTGAATTCACTCACTCCAACTAAGGTATGCTGTTTTTTGGTTAACTAGAATAAAGTGAGTTGGAGATGATTCTTTCAAAGTTTGCTGTACAACATGATACAGTTCCCTGACTCCTGTATAATGCTGTACCAGTTATAGATCATTTCTCTCCTCCTCTAATTTGCTAAATATGATAGGTTAAGGCTGTAGGTGTTGGGGTTTTTCCCCCCCGTCCTTCTCTTAAATGGACCAGCACACACACACAAGGAGAGGAATAACTGCTCTGAGGTTTGGTATTTTGGTAAATAACCATTTCCCAGCTTATCACACATTCCATTAGACACAGCTTGGGATCAAGTTTTAGAAGCCAGAAGTAGAAAAAAAAGAGTAAATTAGTAGTGTATCATTTATTTGAGCTAGGTTACAATACACAGACAAGTAGGACGCTGAAGTTATTACTGAGATTATTTTTGCATCTGCAGATAATGAGTGACATTCCATATACCAGCAATGCAACAGTAAATGAGAAGTTGTTTGCATAAATACAGACACCAGAATACATGTAGTTTCACAGTTTTAACAGCAGTATGTTACAACTTTACACTTTAAATTACTACACCAGAGCTCGAGTAACGTTGGTTATACATCAGCAGTGGTCCCACGAGTCAGGGTACAATCAGACTGAGGATGAGAACACAGTAAACAAAAACAGCCAACAACAACAAAAGCCCAAGTCATGGCTTATGGGAATGATGGGCACCTTCCCCTCCAGCAGGAAAAGTGACAGCTTGTTCCCAGACTACCGCATCTTCCACAAGTTCAGTAAGGCTGCACCTACGAGCAAATTTCCCCCCCCGCCCAAACCCTTAAAATCTTTTCTGGAAACAAAATGAAACAAAAGCAGAACAAAATAAAAGGGTGAGAGACAGTATTAAATACAGCAGGTAACATATGGAATATCACAAGTTTTGGTTTTTATTAGACTAAGGTTCTATGCTTATAAAACAGTTGCTTTGCACAGTTTGACCAGGCAGCTCAGTGTCTATGTACCAGTGGCCTTTACACATCAAAGTCCCATTTGTGGCTGTCCTCTGTGCAGGCTCTGTCCCCTCGACGTGACACAGAGGCAACCCCGCGGGGTTCACATAGTCATGTGCTCTGGTAACACGTAGGATATGTCATCCCACGGGTGGCGGTACAGGCCTTGCTTCAGCCTCTTCTGATCCAGATAGTGTCCTAAAAAGAAAGTGGTTTCTGTTACAAAATCTCTGCTCCTCCTCCTGGTCCTGCTTTGCCTTGAGACAGCTTTGGGTTCTGTATTCCTACAAGTGGCATTTTAGACTGATTCACGTTTGGTGGCAGGACATCCCCCAGGAGGATGGAAGGGGCAGGACCGTGGCAAACTTACCAATGAATCCCATACTCCTGCCTAGTACAAAGATGCCATTAAGAGCTCCTATATCAATATATTCATCTGCTTCTTCCCTGCAAAAGAACAGAAATTAAATAGTTCCTCATAGTGATCTACTTCAGGAATCACTCCTAGAAAGGGTACGAGGCTGCTCTAGTGCCAGTAGCAAATTCACACAAAGGCTTCCTTCCCCCAAGTCCAGGCTGTGTTTTCTTCACATCGTCCTTTTAAATCCTGGCCCCACATGCGCTGGCAGAGTGGCTTCCATCACTTTTATAGGACCATGCCTTAAGGGAAGCAGCCCACTCCCTGCTTACCGTGTGAAAGAGCCACAATTCCTGAGAACATCGACAAAGGCAACTCCGATAAAGCCGTCTACATTCAGGATAAGGTTTGGTTTCTGCAGGAAATAAAAACACACCTCAATAAGGACGTTAGCAGTGGCAAACGATGTTCACCCGGCAGCCTCCATCCCCAGGGGTAATTTGAGGGTTGCCCATAACTGTGGGCACTCCAGTCCAGTGACAGAAAAGGCTGTTCAGCAACTCGAGCGAGAGCCATGCTTGATGGCAGCGATGGAAAACAGCCCCAGACAACGGGCCTGTGTTTGGTTCAGGCCACAGAGAGGATTTATCTGCCACAGCCCATCACAAGTGCTGGCTCTGCCTCCAATTTTAACCCAGCAGCTCCAGTGTGGATGGTGGACAACACAGACTGTGGGTTTGGTTTGTTCAGCATCTTCCCAGTGTCCAATAAATGTCTTCAGCCTTACCCAACTGTAGCTGTACTTGGCCCAGGGTCTACCACAGAAAAACACAACCCCAGCAGCGGTTTGTGAAGCACTGCATTTAAAATATGATACTAATCCCTTGTCACTTGTCCCTCAGTAAAAGAGTGCTCAGGAGGAGATAAACACCTTGGAAGTTGTAATTTTTTCTACTTCAAGTGCATAGTCCAGCAGCGGGGTGGCAGGGAAATGCTGCTTCACGTAGTCTTTGAGAATCTGAACTCTCATGTCTGGGTTATTTATCTGCAAGTTAAGAACAGGTTACGGTCACTGATGCTGCCTTTTACACAGCTACTTGCCATATCACAGAATCGCTCGGTTGGAAAAGAC